AGGAGGCTTTGGGAGGCGGGGAGCTTTGGAGGGGTGAGCTGTTTGGGAGGGGAAGCTTTGGGGAGGAGGATTTGGGAGGGGGGAGCTTTGGGAGGGGGAGCTTTGGAGGAGGAGCTTTGGAGAGCTTGGGAGGGAGTTTGGGAGGAGGGGAGCTTTTGGGAGGGAGGGGAGCCTTTGGCAGAGAGCTTTGGGGGAGCTTTGGGAGGGGGAGCTTTGGGAGGAGGGGAGCTTTGGGAGGAGGGGAGCTTTGGGAGGAGGGGAGCTTTGGGAGGGGAGTTTGGGAGGAGGGCGAGCTTTGAGGGAGCTTTGGGAGAGGGAGCTTTGGTCGACGAGCTTTGGGAGGGGAGCTTTGGGAGGATGGAGTTTGGAGGAGGGGAGCGTTTTGGAGGGAGCTTTGGGAGGGGGGAGCTTTGGGAGGAGGGGAGCTTTGGGAGGGGGGAGCTTTGGGAGGAGGGGAGCTTTGGAGGAGGAGCTTGGGAGGAGGTGGTTGGGAGGGGGGAGAGCTTTGGGAGGAGGGCGAGCTCTCTTGGGAGGGGGGAGCTTGGGAGGGAGGAGTTTGGGAGGGAGGAGCTTTGGTGGAGGGGGGGAAGCTTTGGTGAGAGCTTGGAGGGGGAGCTTTGGGAGGAGAGCTTTGGGAGGGGAGCTTTGGAGGAGAGCTTTGGGAAGGAGGGGCTTGGAGGAGGGGAGCTTTGGGACTGTGGTAGGGAGCTTTGGGAGGGAGCTTTGGGGAGGGGGAGCTTTGGGTAGGAGTTGTCTCATACACAGAGAGTGGCAGGGCCGACTAGCCACAATTCAAATGTTCAATGGACTCAGATGGCTGGTGGCCATTGAGTCGAGCAGCACAGATATAGAACCTTCTATTACAGCACGAAGTCCTATGGGGAAATGCTGCCTATGAGTTTTAGAGGTATTTCACCTCATCTTAGGGATGTTTGGCTCTCTCTGCCGTAAAAAAATTGAACTTTCCAACTCCTAGGCACTGAATCAACCAGGTGCTAGTAGAAAAAACTATTGCTTGGCTGTGGGAGAAGGAGTTGCTTCATGGTCTGGGACTGAGATGCTCAACTCTCTACTAACTGGACTTATTTCCCTCAACTTCCAAGCAGGCCCACAAGCCTAGCCTTTCTGCTGCTTTTGCTCAGGAGTAAATGTAGTCATGTCAGTGGAGAAGGCACCTTGGCTGGCCTCTGCAATCGGCACAGTCCTGCCTGCTGCCCTCCGAACAGGTGAGGGCTCCAGCAGCCAAACACCCCGAATCTTTCCCTTCCTTCTCTTGATCCTGTTCTCTGCACTAGACCACCTCCCATTCTACCCCACCCAGGGCAATCTGTCCTTCTTTCTCCTGCTTCCTAGGGACAAGCAAGCCGTTGCCAGATGCCTTAGTACCTAGGGAAGTTCTTCAGATATTCTGGTTAGTGGGAAAGCGGAGGATGACAAAGCTGGACAGGATCCTAATCCTTTAAGCTGACTCCCTCGCTTGACAGAGGCGACCGGCTGGAAGGCAAGTGAAAGGGCATTCTATCTCCAAGACACGCGAGCACAAAACCAGGGGGTTCCAACTGAACTGCATTCCTGGGAATGTTTTTGAACTTCCCTGCCTCTGCCGATGCTTTATGCTTTATGCCCTTTCCAAGATAACATTCCTTTTACGGACAATGCAATGACTGGCCCATGGGTTTCACTCCACGTGGAGGGAAGCTGGGCAAGTGCTGGATGTGGTTAGGCAGAGAGACAACTCAGCTCTTCCCCGTGAAGCCTCCACTGAAGGCAGTGCTCCTGCCCTCCCTTTCTGTGTGGCTGTCTTTGGCCATTCCTTCTCCTGCTATGGCTCTGGTTTGATCACTTCCTAAGAGGACAGGAAAAGTGAGGACAGAGTTCTGGTTTGGGCACTAGGCATGACATGCTTCAACCTTCACAAAAAGTTTACAACTCTGCATGTCTAAATTACTCAAGGGAAAAAAAAAACCCCAAGGAGCTTGAGGTAGGGAATGCTCTAGGAAACGTGTCGACGGGGGATCCTCTGGCACAAGCACCCCGATTCGGCATCCCTCTTCTCGGGGAGGGTCTTCCACCTCTGTGCTCAATGTAAAATCAGATCACTGACCTTGAAGATACTCCCCCCTCACACTTCAGACAATCCTGGTGACCTTTGACACCATGGAGGCAGGGGCAGAGGACGGTCACTGAAGTCTTGGGAGACCTCTACAGACACTCTGTCCTGCTCCCAACAGACCACATCTGACTCTCTGTTACATAAACTGAGAATCAAAGGAAGAAAGTCCCAACCCTTTTACTTCATCCAAAGGCCAATGGGCTGAATACAGTCAGTCCTCTGGCAAGATCTTAGTGTGGAAGTCACAGAAACTCCTTTCAACTCTTGTTCGTCTCCCCAAGTCCCAGCCCCGCTCTTCCCACCCGTAGTTCTCGCGGTTGCTTAGTGGCTCCTTTTCACTACTAGTAACTCAGGAGAAAGGTCTCATTTAAGCAGCCAGGGGGCCAGCCAACTCAGAAGCAGCAACATGTCCTAAAATGGTCAAAGAAAACTCCACAGGTTTGGCTGGAGCTCAGCTCCTGAAGGAAGGGGGAAGAGTCCCGCAGGGAGGATGAGTTTGGCATCCCCATCACCCCGCCCCAAACCTCAGGCCTAAGATTAACCCCCTGGGTGCTGACTACTTACCATTCCACAGGACCTCCAGCAAGCGGGGGGACTGCGGAATAGCCTTGTTCTCTTTCAACACAGGACTGACATACGATGCTAAGTAAGGTACAGATGTCCAGATCTATTAAAGAAAGGGGGAACATGAGAAATTAACAAACAAGACGGATCAACTCACAAGCACACAACACACACATACACGCTTGTCAATACGATCTCTAAGGTCTAACTCTTGCTTTAGTGTTCCTGTCCTCATCACTTTCTTCTACTCCAGAGGCTCCTGCTGACACCCCAGAATACGCCTATGGCACCAAACCAAGGAACCACAGGAAATGGCTGTGTCCAGGGTGGAAGATGAGAACCAGAGTACCCCGAGAGTCCCAAGATATGCTCAGGTCCCATTTACTCTCTACTAATAATAATAGCTTGGAAACTTCAATTATAGGATCAAGCCTGCTTTTTCACTGGTAAAATGGATACCAGCTGGGGTGAGGATAAAGGTGGCAGATAAATAAAATGAATAATCATTCATCAGGCACCTGCAATACGCCAGGCAATGTCTCAGGCATTCAGACCCCTCCCTTGGCCACTCCACACAGGGCACCCTGCCAACACCCATTCACCTTGGCTGCATTAACGAGCCTCCAAGCATTGAGCAGGCCGAAACCATGCTGGTGGCTATGGCTGAAGCCTGCCTCGTTGGTGACCCAATCTGCACGGCGATCTTCATACTGAAAAGACAGAGGTCCTGGTTAGTCTCTTGCACTGCCAATGTAATCTCAATGACCTAACTCTGGTTTCCTGCTCACCCTGCTGGCTGATCTGGTCTAGACACTCCCACTGAGGCTACTAGGAATGAATTCCCCAAGGAAAGCTGGGACAAAAGGTCAAAGCCTATGATGTCACCACCCCACCCCAGTGGCTTGCTCCTAGAGAGGGAGCCAGAAGGCACAAGGGACAGACCAGCCAGAGCTCTCCTCTGCAGGTGAAATGGCATCAGCAGAATAGGTACAAATGAGTTTAGGTCTATGGTCTTGGTGGGGTCCCGACACCTGTTCTTTACACGTGCAACTTGGAAAGGGACTTGGTATGTAACATTTGGGACATTTAGAAAGTGAAGCCTCCTGCTACCTGAACTCTGGGGCAGGCTATTCCAGGCCACTTGTCCACCTGTTGGTATCTCACCTGGGTGGCTGTGAAGACAATGATGTGTTGGACGTCACGCCACGTGAGGCAGGGCCGAACCTGCAGCATTAAGGCTATCATGCCGGCTGCCAGAGGTGCTGCAGCTGAAGTCCCTGTGTGACCCTCGGTGCAGCCAGTTCCCTTCTGAAGGTCCCAGTCAGTGGTCACCTGGGAAGTGGAGTGGGTGGGGAAGTGGGTTAGTGACTGAGTACTGAGGGGTATAGAACGAGTCTCTCAGGTGCACCCTTCCTTTGTTGGTACTGAATCTTTTGACCAGAGGGGAACTGCTGGCAGGGCAGGACAAAAGAGATCCTTAATCCTTCTGCCCTCCTAAGAGAACGTCTGGAGAATGAAGATAACGATGATAAGGATGAAAGTCACTTCTGAGGGTGTGATTGTGGGGAAAGAGGGAGATGTGGGCAGGTGCTGGTGCAGACAACAGTTTCCTGAGTCTTGCTCCTCTAATATTCTTGCTCCCATTCCCAAGTTCTCCATCCCAAGCCTCCAACCCCCACCACCAAGCTAGACAGAGGAAGTGGCCAGGGCAGCTACTGGGCCCCAGCTGGAGCTGGGACAACAGTGACGGCACCTTTCAAGGAAATCCAACTTGGCAGCTCAGTGACAGGGGCTGGAGTGACCTCGGTATGACCACAGGGAGTGTGTTCCCAGGGAGAGGACTGTGTCCTTGCCCATCCCAGGCTTGGCAATGGGCTCAGTGTCTACATGGCCCGCCCACCCTCTCTATGGCCCTAGACAGGACAAGCTGCCTCAGTGCCCCAGGCCAGGTGCCCTGAGTCCCCCTTCTCTACCTGTGCTTGTGAGTGGGAGGCGAGAGTGGGGGAGGGGGAGACGTCATCTGTCTGGCATCAAGCTCTTTTCAGGCTTTCATCAACCCTGGAGCCTCAGAAGGTTTAGCTGCGGGGAGGGGCATGGGAGTGGGGGTGGCAGGCCTGCCTGAATCTGCTCCACTGTGTGGCACTTGGATCCTTGGCACATGGTGCCAGCGCTAAGGCCAGAGAATTGCTTTCTTCCAAACATGTCTTCTGGGCTGCACACCAGTGTGCCAACTTCTGCTAAGAGATGCCCTTTATCCATTGTCCTCACTGCTTCCCTCCAGCTGTTACAGCAGCTGCCAAGAGATGTAATTTTCACCCAGATATCATACACTCCCAGGAAAAAAGGGAAAAACTCTCTCCAAGTTGTAGTCTCAACGAGTGGGAAGCCTGGTCCGTGCCAGCAGCAGATTGATTTTTTTCCTGTTACGGAAAACAGCCTCCCAGTGACAGTCTAGTGTGTAGCCAGGGGGCCCGTGAATTTGCCTATGGTGGCAGGAGCCCTGGGCAGGTATTGTGAAGTCCAGAGCGGCTCCAAATCCAGGCAGCCAAATGGTGGGAAGCATGTGCCCCTGGCCTCTGCCCTCAGCAAGACTGCTCTACCCATCTGCCCTGGTCACTGAGTAGAAACTGGCACCAGGTTTCCAATGCAAGGACATTCCAAGGATGGAAATTTGGCTAAGTAAACTCTCTTTTCATTTCTGGACCACTTACAGTTCAGATGGAAGGTGGGGGTGGGGGTGGGAGTGAGCTGAATGGAGTTAGGAGAAAAGCCAGGTACTGCAGAACAAGAGTGGTAACTGTGTTAGGGAGACTTCTTAGGTTCCTGGCTTGGGCAGGGGCAAGCTTGGTTCCCCTGAATTTTACCAGGGGGTGAAGTGTATGGCATTTTCTTGCTCGTCGTCCTAAGCCAGCCGTGCCCGGGGTGGGGTGCCCTCTGTGCACAGTCTAGCCTGCTGAGCAAAGCCTCTCTGGCCTTTCTACTTTAGTCCACTCCCGCTTCTCTTCTCCCCAGAGCGGGGGGAGGAGGGAGTAGGGGTCAGCTGGCACAGAGCCTTGGAACATTGTGTAGACCAGAAGTCATTTATTGGCATAACAAAATTTCAGTTTTGGAAAATAAATTTGACCCAGCAGGAAGACAAAGCAGCCCAATTCCCAGTGGCCCTGGAGAGACCTCCCAACCCAGCCACTGGAGAAATCTGACACCACCTGGCTCCAGCCCAGCTCTTGCCTGGAGCCTCCTAAGCTCATATGACACCACTATGGGCAACAGGGACAGGCACAGAGCTCTAAGATGATGGTCCAGACACCTGGCCTAAACCTGCTAGGATGGAGCTAAGTCCAGCCGGGTGTAGACAATGGCCCCTGAATTCTTTAACTGGTTCCACAGGTTGGAGACACTCCGCTTCCCCTGCCGTGATCTCGTTTGCTAAGACTCCAAGTATAGCTCGAGAGAAAGAGCTCTCTCTCGTGTTGACATGAGACATTCCCCTGACTCCTTTTCCTGCCCATCCCATAAAAACAGCCACTAGCTTTACTCCTGAAGATAAACATGACCAGAACTCACAGTTTTTATCTAAGGGCTGAAGAGCAATGGAATGATGATTTCTTTTTTTTTAAATCCACAGAAATTTGCAAAAGCCCGAATTCTACCAAAGGAAGACATTTCAAAAAGTTGTTTAACGAATGTGACCCTTAGTTTCTATATTTGTCCTAATTGAAAAATTTTAAGATAAAAATCATTTCCACAGATTTACCCAGGGTCCTCAGGTCGGTTCTCCCAACAGTGGCATACCGTCAGAGACACAGACCTGCTGGGGAGGTGGCACCTGAGCGCCAGGACAGGAAAGCAGGGAACACCAACATGCTACGAAGCCTGCCATGTGATGTCTTGGGACAGGGGCAGGGTGTAGAGGGCCCGGGAGACACTTACGATGCTCCGGAGCATCTTGTCCCCACCACTGAAGGTGACCGCCAGCATAGAGGCACATTCCTCTGCATAGAACGGCATGTGCCCCTCCTCATCCACAGCACCTGGGGACACAGGAGAGAAATGGTAGCTGGATGAGGATGGAGTCTTGTGCCACGGGCCTGATAATGCCAGAGTCATCTTTGAGCTATCACCTGGGGGACTGTCCTGAGTTTAAACATGATCTGAATTGCCCAAGTCCCTCAATGTGCCCCAAATCCTCATCTGAACAGGCAGCCTCAAGTGGCAGAGAGTATAGTGTGCCCCAATACCATTCTTTCAATAGGCTCTAGGGTAAAACCAGGGGTCTTCTTATACCTACTTATTCATTCACATGTTCATTTTTTTCAAAACTGATTGAGCATCTACTATGAGTCACACACTGTGCTAGGCATCAGGGCCATATGGAAAAGGCTACAGTCCTGGTCTCAAGGAGCCTATAGACCGGGTGTAGTGGCTCATGCCTGTAATCTTAGCACTTTGGGAGGCAGAGGCGGAAGGATTGCCTGAGGCCAGGAGTTTGAGACCAGCCTGAGCAACATAGCAAGATCCTGTCTCTACAAAAAAAATCAGAAAAATTAGCCAGGTGTGGTGGCACATGCCTGTGGTCCCAGCTACTCAAGAGGCTGAGGCAGGAGGATCACTTGAGCCCAAGTGAGCTGTAGTGAGCTATGATCGTGCTGCTACACTCTAGCCTGGGTGACAGAGCAAGACCCTGTCTCTTAAAAAAAAAAAGAGAGAGAGCCTATAGTATAGGTAGGAAGTCAGGTAAGTAAATCAATACATCTGGGTGGCAAAGGCTCTGACTGGGAGCACAGGTGAAGGGCACTTCATTTAGGCTAGTGGGGATGCAGGGGAGGCTTCAAGCAGGAGGCAAGTGGCCCACAGAACGACAGGCCAGAGCAGAGGCTTAACCAGTTGTGGTGGGGTGGAGGTGGTGGTGATCTCCAGATGATGGGTTGAAGGTGTTCCCAGTGTATGGTGACATCTAAGGAAGTCCCAAGATCCTTCGAGATCAGGGCTAGTCCTATCTGAGCCCAAAGAAATGCCTGTGCTCACATATTTAGATAGACACACTGAAGCTGGGGCACACCAAGATATGCAATGCCCTTACCAAGTGACACACACACACACACACACACACACACACACACACACACAGAGGACTGTCAGGTCGCTACCTATGGTGACTGTGTAGATGGAGTTGGCGTAGCCATCGTAGTTGCAGTTGTCATTGTGCTGGCCCCCATTACCACTAGCTACCACAAAGATGCTCCCAAAGCCCTGGCGACCAGCAATCACCCCATGTTGCAAGGCAGCCTGAGGAGGAAAAACGTCAGATATCAGTTGAGGAACTCATGGAAAGACCTCTACCTACTGCACCCATCTCCCTCTCCAACCCTTCTAAAAAGAAAAGAAAAAAAAGTTCAAGGGGACTGGGCAGAGGGAAAGATTTAAAGATAGACAGGAGATGGGGAAGGAGCTTTTAGGGGAGCAACATCTGATGGATATATTCTGCTTATCAGAGGGTAGGGTGAAGCCAGGACAAGACCAAAGGAAAACTCTCTCAAAGCATCACTCCATTTCCCTAAGAACTAGTGTCCCCCAAGCTTCCTGCCACCAGGTGAGGCACATTCTTCCTGAAAGGAGGCAGCAGGGCTAGATGGCATACATCTGGGACTGCAAATGGGGTGGGTGGAAAAAGGGACTGTCTTGTAGCAGTTCTCCCAGGACTGAATGAGGAGGGTGTCCCAGCTCTCCTAGAGACCCTTTTCATGCAGTTCAGTTACCTTTCCAAGCTGATGTGGGCCATCCACTGTCTTCCCATCATCATCTGGTCCCCAGCTGTTGAGAAACACCCAGAGGGAAGGGGCAGAGCCAGGCTGTGGCTACCCACTCAGGGCCTCCCAGTCTCAGCTGGCCATCATTCTGCCTGCAGCTCTTTCTCTCCTCCCAGGGGTTCCAGTTTAGGACTCCCATGATTAAAGGACATAGGGTTCAAAGGTCCATCCCTTCTCCAAAGTAGAAAACAGAAGTCTGTGCCAAGGTTTTTCTTTTCCTTGGACATATCCCTAGTTTAGGACCATGTTTTCCTGCCCCTAAAAGTCCTTTCGCAGGGAGCAGGGGACAGACAATACATAGTACCAGAGAGGGACAGGGACCACTCCTCTCCTGATCTAGAGATCTACTGCTAGGCTTGATGGCAGAACACCTATGAAGGAATATCTATCTGTGTCAGTTCTTGGTTCTTAGGCTTAGGAGTTCTCTATCCTTTCTCTAAGAGGAAATGTACCCTGTGGAGAATGTCATGCATTTAAGGGAGGCACTGTTGGGGGGAAGAACAGGTGCCATCAATGCCACAAGGCTGCCCAACCCCAGTTCCTCCTTATCCTTCCCACCACAGCCGTGACCTGAAGCTGCAGGTGCATACACGTAGGGTGGCAGGGATGGTGCTGGGCATTCAGCTTCCCTGCGGTTGGAGAGGAAAGCCTACTTTCTCCCCGAGGCCTTATGAGTTTAGAAAACAAATAAATGTGGGGTAGGTTGGGGCTGGGGGTTCTCATGTGGCAATCTGATTCCTGGGGTCACAGAAGCTTAAGATTGAGAACCCAGTGGCTGCAAATCTGAAGAAATTAGGGCAATGAGCTTATTGGCTGAACCCAGTAAGGGGTCCCCTGCTGGGTCAGCCCATTTTGCAGACCTTTTGTTGGCAGATCCATCCCAGGTGCTCTAGCCTCTTGCCCTCCCACCTGCTCTGCCTCACCCATAGCTCTGCCTCACCTGCAGCTGTAGATGTCATTGATCTGGTAGTGCTTGTTGAACGCCACGGCCTCCATGCTGTCTGTGAGAGGTCCGTCCAGCACCCGGATACCTAGGCAGCGAAGGCCACAGCAGCTCCTCACTAATGCTGGTCCCCTAGACTGGGAACTGCATGCTGGGAGCCACGTGTGGGAAACTCACTTTTTCCTATATGCTTTTTTGCACTGTTTGAATTTTTATACCATGTATATGTATTACCTGTCCAAAAATATTTAACATAATGCTAGAACTTAGACTTTAACAATCATGGGGGCTGGTGGGAGAGGCATAGAATGTAGGTAACCAGGGTTCCCTTCTGATCTTCACCCTTAATCATGTAAAACGCCTAGCACGGTGCTTGACATCGAAGATGTTCGATAAGTGGTACTCATCACCATTGCTACTCTCATGGATGCCTAATTTTTTTTTTTGAGACAGAGTCTCACTTTGTTGCCCAGGCTAGAGTGAGTGCCGTGGCACCAGCGTAGCTCACAGCAACCTCAAACTCCTGGGCTTAAGCGATCCTTCTGCCTCAGCCTCCCAAGTAGCTGGGACTACAGGCATGTGCCACCATGCCCGGCTAATTTTTTTTTCCTATATATATTAGTTGGCCAATTAGTTTCTTTCTGTTTATAGTAGAGACGGGGTCTCACTCTTGCTCAGGCTGGTTTTGAACTCCTGACCTCGAGCAATCTGCCCACCTCGGCCTCCCAGAGTGCTAGGATTACAGGCGTGAACCACTGCTCCTGGCCATGGATGCCTAATTTTACCCTTTAAAATGGGTGGGTCACATCCTGGTGACCATGTAGGGACAAATGGGCTTTCAGATGGGACTTGACCATGAAGGTTTCTGGTGCCCTCGGTAGTTTCATTTACAGAGGGCTGCTGCCCTCTGCAGGAGTGTAAGAGGAACACAGTCGGCCCATTGATTCTGTAGCTTCCCAGGAATTAAATTAGGAATCGCGAGGAGAGCCTTCCCATTCATTCCCTTCACCTTCTGCTTTGATGACAGAGTCTGAGAGGCAAAGGAACCACTGAACCACTTCCAGTGGGGAACAGGGCTGCTCAGCTCTCCTGAAAGGATCAGAGCAGCCCATGACTGTCAGGACTGAGCACTGGAGAGTTAGGACATGCAAGAGCATGGCCATGGACATGGGGTTACGGAGGAAGAACCAATGAGAAGGTACTTTATAGAGTACTAAAATACAAATATAATGTAGTTAAGCAAAAGATCATTAATGGTTCACTCTTATGTGTTTTACATATTGGGGTTTGCTGCTAAAAAACATGTTTGAAACACCACTGCACTGAAAAAATCATTGAACTGATTTGTCCTATAGACACCTACTGTGTTTCCCTGAAAATAAGACCTACCCATAAAATAAGCCCTAGCACGATTTCTAAGCATTTGTGCAATATAAACCCTACCCGGAAAATAAGACCCAGTGACGGGCGTGGCTACGCAGCGTATCTGCACAACCCATGCATTTTGTCTCAGAGCATTAAAGAAGATGAGCAGCCCTTCTCATCTGCCCCATCGTGACAGCTACTATCCCAGAGGTGACCAGAAGGTGTGGGCAGCCCCACCAACAAGGTCAGCTTCCCCTGTCAGGTCCTAGCCATCCTGTGTGTGCTGCAATCTGAGGCTTTGAGGGGAAAATGACACATCCCCTGAAAATGAGCCCTAAGGTGTCTTCTTGAGGAATAATAAATATAAGACCCTGTCTTATTTTCGGGGAAACACAGTATTATAAACTTACCCTTGCTCTAGGCTACGTGTTGAGGGTGGAGTAAAGACATTTCAGTGTGGGAAGGGGTGCAGGGAATGCAGACTGTGATCACAGGAGCAGCCTACTAAGGCTGGACCCAATTACCTGCTATGCGGCTCCCGTAGGCCACGCCCACGGCACAGAAGCTGTTGTTGGGCACAGCAGCGATCTCTCCAGCACATCGCGTGCCATGGTGGTTGCCATTCTCCACATCCGGGTGGGGCATGGGGTCAGGATCATTAGAGTTGAGGTCATAGCTACCCTCAGGACTCTGAAATATCAGGGGAGGGGCAACATGTGGTCACTCACTGGTTAGAAGGGGTCAAATCCTGGAGCTCAGGGAGAGAAGGAACAGGGAGTTTGGGACTCCGAGACAGGGCATCTCTGTAAACCACATGGGGTTCAAGAAGTAAGCAAAGAACTGGAGCAAAACTGAGAAGTACCATAGCTCCCAGCAAACCTCTCTCTTGCCTCCTATAGGAATGTGCCTGCTGCTCCATGGCTTGGGAAACCTGGATAAAAGAGGTCTATGGCTACCTAAAGGCCACACTTTAGAGACAGGAAGGTACTCAGAAATTCAGTGGAGAGGAAAGTTGCCTACAGGGGCCACTCCCTACTCGCTGGGGAGGGAGCAGCAACAGGAAGCAGGAAGCACTGCCTGGGATTGCTCTCCCATGGGGTAGGGCCACCTGCGGGGCCTGGACTGCCTATCTGGAATGCTGGCTGGGTCCAGGAGAGAAGACAAACATCATCCCACCTCCCAGGCCCTTTTTTTTGGCCCAAAGACCTCTAGGAAAAGGGACAAGACTAAGGCAATATTGAAGAGGTGGTTAGAGGTACAGGTGGAAGGGGTTGTTCCAAGGCCACTCACATAGTTGGGGGCGATATCCTGGATGGTGTGTTCCACTCCGTCATCCACCACCACCACCGTCACCCCTCGCCCAGTCACATTGCGCTCCCACACACCCGTCACGTTGATGTCCCTGCCAGGGCTCCGCCGGTTATACTGTAGGAAAGAGGGCAGGAATCCAGTGACACACAGCATGCCCCAGAGAGAGACAGAGTTAGAGCTGGCAGCCCCCTTTCACCCCTGGCCTCCACCAGAGAGCCAGGCAGAGGCTGCAGACCAACAAAGCCAAGGAGGGCACATGAGGGCGGTGCCACAGCCTGGGTCTCCAAGTTCAGCATCAGTCACGGGTGACTTAGCATGAAATGGTGGCTGCGGTTAAGTGTTGGATGATATAATTATTATGCCAGTGTTAGTTATCACTTATGTAATAGTGTTCACCATGAGTCTTGCACTATTCTAAGTGCTTCTCACATATTAATCCACTTATCCTAACCATAATTGTACGAGGTAGATACTGTTACAATCTCCACTTTACACATGGAGAAACTGAGGGATGGAGGGGTTAAGTAGTTTGCCCAGAGGCACATGCTAGTAGGTGGCAGAGCTGGAACGTGCACCCAGGCAGCCTAGCTACAGTGCCCGTGCCCTGGGCACCACAGAACGCTGGCTCTCTAGCAGAGGGTAGAGGGGAGGTAGAGCCCAGGGGCGAAACATACCACAAAAATGTGCCCTCAGGCAAAGGATGGCGGCAACTGAGTGAGGAATGGTGTGGTTGGAAGCCCACTAAAGCACTGGACAGAACTACCCAGCTGAAACTGAAAACTGCAGGGCGGGACTCACCAGGTGCCACTGCTGCGGGTACTTGGGGTCATTGAAGTGCATGCTGCGCTTGGCCCGCTTTAGCAGCCTCTGCTCTGAGTGCCAGCGCACAGTTTCGTGCCTGGCCAACACCGCTTCCGCCTGCTGCCGGATGGCCTCCACCTCCAGGGCCTGCCCACGCCCGGCTGGCTGGACCAGGAGGTAATGGCCCCGAAGCTCACCGATGCGCCCAGCATTCACCAGCCCTGCTGCGTGGGCCAAGGCATCTGCCTGCTGCTCCAGAGTCTCTTCTGCCCCCTCACCTTCCAGGCTGTCCAGATGCACAGCCCAGCTTAGCCCCCCTGGACCCTGGGCCTCAGGCCCACCTGTCCCTGCCAGGCACATGACCCAGGGAACCAGTAAGAAGAGCCCGGCTAATTCCAGCCAGAGGCAGGTGGGCAGGCCCAGGGGGGCATCCAAGTGTGGCACTCTCTGCCTCCCCTTCGGCATCAGAGCAGTAGGCTGCAGACAAAGAAGAAGGACATAAAAGACATAAAAGAGCTGGTAACTGTAGGAATCTGAGAGGGAGACTTTAAACCATCAATGTGTTCTCCCTAGAAGTCTCCAATCCACTCCTTTTAAATTATTGAGTATTTGATCCTCTCTTTTTGTTCACATTTATCCCTGACCAATAGGGACAAGCCCCCAGATTAAGTGTGGGTCAGTACTGACCCAAGTGGGTGACCTTCCACAGCAATCCCCATCATACCAGATAGTCCAGCAGAGAGGGGCCAGTTGCTCACAGACATCATGCCCTTCCCCCTGCTGCCATGCAGAGGGCTCAAAGTACATGCCACTCCCACAAACTACTGGCAGCATATGACTGTTCTTTAGAAGAGGACCCCTTCCCCTTTAGAGGGCATGTAAGTCTTTCCCCAGCAGATTCCTCAGTGCAGTTGTCCTCAGGGCTAACTCCCCACAAGGGGGCCCCATTCCCACCTGGACGCTACGTGAGGTTGAGCTCCTGGTCTGGCTAACCACGTCACACTCATCTTGTGCAAAGGGAGAAAAGGCATCACTTTCACTGTGAGTAGTGTTGACTCAGCACAGGCTACAGACCTGGGGGACCCAAGAACAGGAGAAATAATGTCCCACCAAACCCAATGGAACAAGCAGAGGTTAGATGAACTTTCAGTACCAGTGACCAAAGAAACTTGATCAAGTGTCATTTCTAGGGATCTAAAACAGATCATAGACCACAACAGAAGTGGTATTGTAAGACCAAATCAGTATAAAATCCAGAAACCCTACTTCTTGAGTTATCATGGCATCCTCTTTTCATTTTTTCCCCTGGAGGTCTAGTAGAGGACTTAACTGTTACCAAAATGCCTCCTGAGAAGGTAAGTAACACACCTCCTGGAAGTCTAAGTGGTAGTTAACTTCCTGGTTTTCGTGTCTCCCAAGGATGCCAGGGTAACTGAGAAGAGGCAAGAGGCAGGGGAAAGCCAGAAAATGCCAATGAAACCAAACAGGCATCAAGGGCAAGCAGGGAAGCAGAAGAGAACAACTGGAAAACAGCGCTAAAGAGCTACCCCTGTAACTAGCTCAGCAGGTTGGCTTCAAAGTGAGGGCTCAGGCTCCAATCACCTAGGTTTGACAGAACCAGGGACTTGGTCTTAGGAATACTCAAAGAATAAAAGAGCCAAGTTGGAGCTGGTTGGCAACTGTGACAAGTGAATGGGGTGGCAGAACATGTGGTACCTATGGATGGCTGGGCTCCTTTTAAAGCCTCTTCTCTCTACGGAGTCTACATGGGGGCAGGACTTAGTACAGAGACACACACCCAGACAGATCCAACTCAAAGCATTCCAGAAAAATGGATATTTTACTGAAGACTCCATGTAAAAGGAAAGAACTTATGCTACCTAACATTTCCCTACAAAAATATCCATTCCATATCTCTTCCTCTCTTTTCCTCTTAAATTCCCAAACATATTCCCTCTCAAATCCCTCCCTGATCCCCAGCAGCCTCGACTGTCCCAAGATATTACTCTACTAACTAAAAAAAAAAATCCTTTGACATAGCCAGATAATGACCCATCCAGGCAGGCTCCTCCAGTCTTAAAAAAATCCCACATTTCCGGAAGAAAGAGAAACCTGAGCTTCTCCTGTCTCCTAGCTGCAGAGCAGCACTTTTATCCCCAGGCTTCTGGGAAAGGAACCTTGAACACGTTCTGAAAGCAGATCTTCACCTCTCCTAACTGCTACGCCTATCTTTACAGCTCTTAGTGGTCAAGGAAAAGGAGTAGGGGCAGCCCGGAGTCCAAGATTCTGCTCCCAAGCGACTGTCGTCCTCTCTGTCTTTACACCCAGCTCCTAGAAACCATGTTACCTACAGGGGTCAGTTTCGCCGGTCCTCACCCCCTGCCCTCTCCCTCCACTGCTCGGTGCAATGCGCCCCTCTCCTCATTAGCACCCTACTATCCTGGAATCCAAGACCTTGAGGCCCCGTCCCTCTGGGTTCCCCCACTCCAGGACCGAAGGCTCCCTCTGTGCAGCTCCCTCATCCTCAGACGCCGGCTCCCCCCGGTTCGCGGCCACCTGGACTTTCAGTGTCCAGCCCCCACCTAGTTCCCAACTCACCCGCCTGGCCGCAGGAGCCGCCGCCTCCCTACGGAAACTCGCGGCTTCCCGGGAGCCCAGCAGCCAGTGACAGCAGCATCACTTCCGCCCGGGCGGCTCAGCCAATCAGCGGCGGGCGCCGCGGGCCCGGGACGACCCGGCGGGCCCGAGCAACCGGCGCGGGGGGCCGGCTCCCGCGGGCGGCCTCCGTGGACAGAGGGCGTGCGGGCTTGGCGGGCTTAACTCGCGGAGCTCCACCGTCCCGAGGCCTCGGGACATCTTCAACAGGGTCCCTCCCCGCAGGGTTCTTCTTCATGGCGTCCTCTGAAAAGGGCATCTCGGTGCCGACCTTTAAAAACACCTCGTTGCTCTCCTCCCTCTGACCGCCATGGCCTCGGCTCTCTCTGTAACCTCCCCAGAGGGGCTCCTGCCCCCACCAGGCCGCCTTCCTTGTCGCCGTCGCATCTCTCTTCTTCCCTGCGCCCCTGGAGAATCCCCTTCCATCTCAGGGGTCTTCCGCTGCATCCCCGTGTCCCGGGCGGCGCCAGCTCTCGCCGCCAGAGGGCGCCGTCGGGGGCGGCGCGGCGCCACGGCGGCCTCTCCTCTCGCGGCCGGAGCCTCGCCCCCTCCGCTCGTGTCGCCGGAAGTGGGAGGTGTCGCGCGCGGGCCGGCGCTCGACCCCTCCCCCCGTGGCTCGGCCGCCCCCTCCCCCCGCTCCGCCCGCTCAGGTGCGTCCCGTCCCTCCCCCCCATCCTCCCGGGGGCGCGGCGCGGGAGGTGTGTGCGGGGCGGGCGCGCGGGGAGGGGTCTGCAAGGCGAGGGGCAGAGGCGCGGGCGGGGGTCCGAGCGGGGAGCGTGGGGGGAGCTGTGAGGACGGGGGCGGGGGTCCCGGCCTAGAAGTGGGACGGGGGCTGGCAGTGGGGTGGGGGACGGAGGGAAAGATGTGGAGGGGGCTCCGGCCCGAGCAAGCGGCCTGCTTAGCAGTCCCCGGTTGAGGGTGGCGGTGGCCACCCGGCGCTGCTTCCCCCCATTGTCCCTTTCCCGTCTGTCCCCTGTTCTCTCCCAAGGACCCCTCGCTCCCAGCGTCGCCGCCTCACTAGTGCTGGCTGTCGGGGTGCAGGGTTCCTTTTGGCAATCTCCGCTCTCCAGCCAGATATACCTGCCCTCCCTGCTTGGGCTCTCTGGCCGCAGAGTTGCATGTATGACCCTTGCCCTGTGGTTCCGTGTGCGGGGCACGGAGGACTCAAGGCCCTGGGCTCTGTTGGAGGCAAGATATTTGCACCTGAGGGAGCAATAATGGCGATTCAGGGCCGTTTTCTCCCCGGAGCTTTGTATAATAAGGCAAACTGAGGCACAGAGGGTCTCCGTGTGCTGTGACCGAAGCGTTGACACAGCCCCGTCTCCGTATTTGCCCTATGCGTGGTGCAGGGTTCACGGGTATACCTGTGATGCTGTTAAAAACAAGAATGTAAACTAACCCTATGTTCACCGCCCCTCACCTCCCAAGTTGTTTTTTTTTCTTCTTTTCTTCTCACAGTAGAAGGTCATGAGTTGGTTTTGTGGCATAAAGCATGACCTTTTGATCTTAAAAAAAAAAAAAGGCATCTGGCTGGGTTCTCTTTCTTGTGTTCCCATATTTTCTCATTTTCATGTTAGAGTAACCCAGATTCTCATCCTTTTTTGCACCTTTTGTGGTGACGCTGACGAGTCTGTACTTTCCTCAGCCAGTGGGTATCAGACTTTTCCCATCTGGGGCGAACACACCGACAGAGGGAAAGATACACGCTGGCATTGCCCTGTACTTGTTCTCTTACGTGCAAACACTTCCAGAAAATCTCACTTTAATGAAGAATGCTTTGACTGTAACAGCCATAAAATGATTTAAAAACATATTACTACTAGGCCTAAAGATACGTCTTTTGTAAAGGATAGTAGACAATGTAGACATGGTAGGCCATTTATGGAAGATTCTCACAGACTGTGATCTACTATTTTAAATGACTGCATTTCTGCCAGAAGTGAAAATAAAATCTTTGCACAGACTCCTTATATAAATATGGTGACTCCTGAGGATTGATGCCCACTGGGATCTATTACATGCAATGGCTTTTTTAATACCCTACTACAGAATACTCTTCAGTATCTTCTCAGAATTTTTCTTTGTATTTCTTTCCTGGAACAACTCTATTGTGTGGACATTTTGAGGGGGAAAGATACATTTATTTTAAACTTTTGAAACTTGTAGCCTGTAATTTGTTTCTGAATGTACAGAGCATGATGGCGGCATCTGAGGTAGCTGGTGTTGTGGCCAATGCCTCCAATCCTCCGGAATCTTCTTCTAGTTTATGTGCTTCCAAATCAGATGAAGGTCTCCCAGATGATCTAAGGTAATGTGTGGATTCTTCACTGGGAAGATTCCTTTGGGTAAAGGGCTTTTGAGATGGGCTTCTGTAGCTGGTCTTTCCTTTTTTGGCTCTAATGGTTCTGCACTAAATGAGCTTTTTGAAGGTAGGGGACTGCCTGATCTATCTTTGTATTTCTGGTGTCCAGCACAGCATCTGATACTCAGCATGCATGCTAAATGTTTGTTGAATAAATAGAATCAGAGTATAGGGGATCAAAGTCATCAAAAATGCAAATATTACCATTTCCTTCATGGACTATATGTTGTTCATTTAACCATATGTTTCTATATCATATTTGTATAAATGAGACTTTTATATTATAATATATAGAGGTATATGCATATATACTCACACATATAAACAGAGATATATATAGGTATGTATCTATCTATCTAGATAACTTTGTTCATATGACTTACTGCTTCATGTATACATTTGTGTCTCCCATCTAAACTTTTGAGGGTAGGAATTGTAGTTACCCAAACTTGCATCCTATAGTGGCTAATATATTGTTATGTACAATGTTGAACTAAATTAACTATATAGTCATCTCTCAGTATTTGCTGGGGATTAGTTCCGGGACTCCCCTTGGAAACCAAAATCCTCAGATGGTCAAGTCCTTGATATAAAGTGGTGTAGTATTTGTGTATAACCCTATGCATATCTTCCCATATACCTTAAATCATCCCTAAATTACTTATAATACCTAATACAGTGTAAATGCTATGTAAATAGTTGTTATACCATATTGTTTAGGGAATAATGACAAGGGAAAAAAGTCTGTTCATGTTTAGTACAGATGTACCCATCCATTTTTTTCTTGAATATTTTCAATCCAAATATTCAATCTTGAATATTTGAATCCACAGATGCGGAACCCATGGATATTGGGGGCCGACTGTATGTTCTACTTCAACTTTTTTCTAGAGTACCTGGGACCTAATATAATAAATAATACTGTACTGACAACTTTATATTTATTAACACATTTAATCCTCACAACAATCCCAGGAGGTAGGTGCTAATATTATTATTCCCATTTACAGGTAATGAAAATGAGACACAGAGAGGTTAGTAACTTGCCCAAGGTTACCAAGCTATGTTGGAGTCAGGGTTTTAATAAAATCACATACTTCTAGTAATAATAATAGCTGCTAAGGTTTACTGAATGTTTACTACATGCTAAGCATTATACTAAATACTTTATGTAATCCTCAAAATCCTACCAGGTAGATAATATTATTTCTGTTTTACCAATGATGTAACTTTCCCAGAGTCAAACAGCTAATAAATGGTAGAATCTGGATTCAAACCCAGGTATTATATGTACTCAAATTTATAATTGAGGCTCCCCTCACCCCACTCCACAGTTATCTCCCTGCAAGAAGGAATTAGCTAAGAGTGTTAAAATTTTTTAGATAATGAGATGTTCACATAATTGCTTTATTTTGAACAAATACTATTGAGGAAAGGAGGACACATTGACTCGATGCTTAAGGGGGTCAATAGACAGAATCTGTTTAAAAAGGGGGAGAGGACAAAGAAATTTAATATATATTTAATTCCTGGGTGAAACACTTACAGTTGTGGATATTGGATGTCATTGTAAATATGTTTTAAAGATCTCTTTAAAAAGCGGTGCATTAAATGTCTGTGACAAATGACAGAATAACCCAATGTTATGTTTACGTACACTAGCAAGTCTGATATGAAATTTCTGTTGACAGCTTAATTTTGGATTCAAAATTATCTGTGCTTTAGGCAGCTTTGAAGTGAAGATGCTATGCTCTGGAAAACTTGAAGAACCTAAAAAGTGGTTCTTGTCAAAGATCTTTGTAATGAGTTTGAATGACAGTTGTTTTCGTGAAACATGAGAGTGGAGTAAAGACAATATTTCTAAATCAATATTTTATTTATTAAAATATTATATATAACTAAACTGAATATTCTAACAAACATTAGGTTATTTCATCTACATCCCTAAAAGTTATTCAAAATGGCCCTCAAAATTTTTTTGGCTCTTCAGAGTTATTTATGTTTTGGCATTTACTGTAAGACTGTCTTCAGAACCCATGTTCTTAATTATGAACCTATGCTATCTGCATATGGAATAGAAGTCATTGGAATAAAACTAAGTTTTCTTTATTCTGGTAATTGGGAGGGCTAATTTTGTTCTTCTAGTGGTTACATTGAAAGTATTATATACTTAATCCTCTTTGAGAATGGGTGAAGAGAGAAACTTTTTATGTTTTTAATAGCCCTAAAGACCCTGCACAGAAGCAGAAGAACTCGCCTCTGTCGAGTGTAAGTAGCCAAACGATAACCAAGGAGAATAACAGAAATGTCCATTTGGAACACCCAGAGCAGAATCCTGGTTCATCAGCAGGTGACACTCCAGCAGCGCACCAGGCTGTTTTAGGAGAAAACTTGATAGCCACAGCCCTTTGTCTTTCTGGCGGTGGGTCTCAGTCTGATTTGAAGGACTTGGCCAGCACAGCAGGAGAGGAGGGGGACACAAGCCTCCAGGAGAGCCTCCATCCAGTCACTCGGTCTCTTAAGGCAGGGTGCCATACAAAGCAGCTTGCCTCCGGGAATTGCTCTGAAGAGAAATCCCCACAAGCCTCCATCCTAAAGGAAGGTTGCAGGGACACAGGCTTGGATTTCCGACCTGTAGTACCTCCAGCAAATGGGGTTGAAGGAGTCAGAGTGGATCAGGATGATGATCAGGATAGCTCTTCCCTGAAGCTTTCTCAGAACATTGCTGTACAGGTCAAGTATCAAGTTTCTACTACTAACATGGAATTTGGGGGGGTTTTTTGAGGGTAGGAGATATTTCTTCATATTTGGTGGAGAATTATACTGTCTCATTTTTTGCTGGCAGTCATCATACTATTTTCATACAGTGCTATGCTGTGACTTCATTCTGGTGTTCAATAAATAAGAAAGCCAGTAGCCCAGTTTCTAATCTTATGGCAAGCAGGAACTTTATGACCTACATAAAATCTCTTTCGCTGAGTAATTGATGTGTGTAGGTCATTAGCATTGATATTTCCCGCCTTTGTCCTTGCAGGAGGAATCCTTGTTAATTCTCTGACCTATCCTGCCTTCTAGTGACTGGTGTGCTTTGTCGTAGGAGAAAGTATGGGCACAGTAGGTTGTAGGCGGCAAATTTCTCACCTCAGACTTGAGCTTTCTCTCAATCAGTTTTTGATCTTGTTCAGGTTATTTGTGGGATAAATGATTAATGTAATGGGGATATTGGCATCCATTTGCCAGAACTACATTGCTTTTCTTGCTATGGAGCTGGTAAGGGGAAAGAGGAAAAAGTTTGCTTCTTAGTTACTTGTGGCAGTTTTCTAGGTGAAAGTACTAGAATAATTCTGCCTCTTTGAAAGTGTCTCAGAGCAATTCTGAATATAATTGTTTCTTTTTTTTATAGACTGACTTTAAGACAGCTGATTCAGAGGTAAACACAGATCAAGATATTGAAAAGAATTTGGTAAGTATTTAAAATATCATTGTTGTTACATAAAACCATTAAAGCAGAAAATCTAGAGGCAAATCATTTTAGTTGGAAAGTGTGCAGGAATCCCGTTCATAAAATCTCTGACAAATGGTTAGCTAACTTCTGCTTGATCACTTCCAGAGAAGCTAACTACCTCACAACGAAGCCTATTGTTTTTTTTTGAAACAGCGTCTTACTCTGCTGCCCAGGCCCAGAGTGCAATGGCGTCATCATAGCTCACTGCAACCTGTGCTCAAGCGATCCTCTTGCCTTAGCCTCTTTTTTGAAACAGAGTCTTACTCTGTTGCCCAGGCCCAGAGTGCAGTGGCATCATCATAGCTCACTGCAACTCCTGGGCTCAAGCAATCCTCTTGCCTTAGCCTCCTGAGTAGTTGGGACTATAGGCGTGCACTATCACACCCAGCTAATTTTTCTCTTTTTAGTAGAGACGGGGTCTCATTCTTGCTCAGGCCGGTCTCAAACTCCTGACCTCAAGCAGTCCTCCTGCCTTGGCCTCCCAGAGTGCTAGGATTACATGCGTGAGCTACTGCACCCAGCTTTTCTATTGCATTTTTAAAAAATAACTCTTATTGTTAGATCTTATTCTGAGATAAAGACAGAACCTTTATAAGTTATTGGTATAGCTCTCTCTTGAGCTTTATGGAGTAAATTCAGTTCCTCTTATAGTTGTTAGCTCTGTGTATATTTAAAGATTTTTTATGCCTCTTCCTCTTACCCCTCAAGTCCAAACCTTTCTAGATGAAATATTTTCAGATGTTTTTAGCATTCTTCATTTTTTTTAGTCATCATCCTGGTTTTGTCATCATCCTGGTTACTTTCACCTAGACCTGTTCCATTTTATCAATATTTCTTTTATTTTTTTGAGACAGTGTCTCACTCTGTTGGCCGGCTAGAGTGCCATGGCATCAGCTTAGCTCACAGCAACCTCAAACTCCTGGACTGAAGCAATCCTTCTGCCTCAGCCTCCCGGGTAGCTGGAACTACAGGCATGTGCCACCATGGCCGGCTAATTTTTTCTATATATTTTTAGCTGGCCAATTAATTTCTTTCTATTTTTTAGTAGAGATGGGGTCTCGTTCTTGCTCGGGCTGGCCTCGAACTCCTGAGCTCAAACGATCCTCCCGCCTCAGCCTCCCAAAGTGCTAGGATTATAGGCATCAGCCACCACGCCTGGCCCGAATATTTCTTTTAAAAAGTGATCTTGGGGGCCGGGCGCGGTGGCTCACGCCTGTAATCCTAGCTCGTACTGAGGACCGAGTGGCGGATGCTCGAGTCAGGAGTTCAAAACCAGCCTGAGCAAGAGCGAGACCCGTCTCTACTATAAATAGAAAGAAATTAATTGGCCAACTAATTATATAGAAAAAAATTGCCAGCATGGTGGCGCATGCCTGTAGTCCAGCCACTTGGGAGGCTGAGGCAGAAGATTGCTTGAGCCCGGAATTTGAGGTTGCTGTGAGCTAGGCTGATGCCACGGCACTCACTCTAGCCTGGGCAACAAAGTGAGACTCTGTCTCAAAAAAAAAAAAAAAAGTGATCTTGGGGCCTGGGCACCGTGGCTCACACCTGTAATCCTAGCACTCTGGGAGGCCGAGGCGGGAGGATCGCTTAAGGTCAGGAGTTCGAAACCAGCCTGAGCAAGAGTGAGACCCCGTCTCTACTAAAAATAGAAAGAAATTAATTGGCCAATTCTTTTTATTAAAAAAAAGTGATCTAGGGGTCAGGCACGGTGGCTCATGCCTGAATCCCAGCACTTTGGTAAACCAAGGCAGGAAGATTGCTTGAGACCAGCATGGACAACACAGTGAGACCACATCTCTACAAAAAATTAAAAAATTAGCTGTGTGTGGTGGTGTGTACCTATAGTCCTAGCTACTTGAGAGGCTGAGGTGGAAGGATCCCTTGAGCCCAGGAGTTCAAGGCTGTAGTGAGCTATAATTGTGCCACTGCACTCCAGCCTGGGCAACAGTAAGAGATCCTCTCTTTAAAAACAAAAGTGATCTTGAGAACCAAATGTATATAATCAAATCCTGAAAACCACCTGTCAAGAAACAGTATAATTAGTTTATGATATAGTGGGTGTCTCCATCTGTCTCATTTCTGAAGCTTACATTGACTTATTTTGACAATTTTACTGTACTGTTGAGCTTTCAGTCAAACTCCATCAAAATCTTTTTCTCATGCGGTATTTACTTGTGTCTTTCTCATTTTATCCCTAAGTATTTTGGGTTTTTAAAACTTAGCTAGAGAACTTCACATTTATCTTTGTTGAAATGGTCCCCTTGATCTATCCCTGGCATTTTGTAGCTAAAACAAAGTGTACGCATATCTAAGTGTATGTTTTTTAAGAAGAAGGCTAATACTGGGAAAGACATCTTAGGATCTGGAAGAGGTTTTTAGGGTAAGATGTGTTAATTGAATGGAGAGCAATATAAAAAGAAACAATGCTTGTAGCAACCAGGTAAGAAAGTGGATATTTGGTGCAAGCTGAAGAATTGAAGGACAGATGAAAATAAGTAATTTATTTCAGGGGTTCCCAGCCTATGGTGAGTTGTATAATTATTTCATTATATATTACAATGTAATAATAATAAAGTGCACAATAAATATAATGTGCTTGAATCATCCCCAAACCATCCCCCCCAACTACCTGGTCCATGGAAAAATTGTCTTCCATGAAAGTGGTCCCTGGTGCCAAAAAGGTTGGGGACCTCTGAATTGGAGTATGTTAACAAGATGAAGCTAATAAAAGTTTTTAAATAGTAGCTACTCAGGATTTATTTGTAACAGACAGGTAGAAAGGTCCTCAGGAAGAGAGACCTGATGGAAGTGGAGTAGGTGGAAACCTGGATAAAAGAGACCCTCTGGGAAAGGGAAGGAAATCATCTTTTCTTGAGTGCTTATTCTAAGCACTTTATATAGAGCATTTATTTTGTCCTCACAGTTGTTAAGCTGGGGTTCAGATGACTATATGGCAATTGAAGGGGCCAACCAAGAAGTCATAAATAAGCTTGCATCATTCTGAAGCATCATTCTTTCATACTGGGTTGAAAGAGGGCCAGGGTTTTGTATTTTTTGGCTATATTCTTTTGGGTGGTTGTGAGACCCACATGCTTTTTATTTTTATTTTTTTTAAGAGGCAGGGTTTCACTCTGTCATCCAGGCTGGAGTGCAGTGTGGCAATCGTAGCACCCTGTAACCTTGAACTCCTGGGCTCAAGCAAACCTCCCACCTCAGCCTACTGAGTAGCTGGGACTGCAGGCACATACCATTGCTGTCTGTTTTTTATCATATTTTAATTAAGTTTATCTAGCCACATATGGCTAATAGCTATGGTTATTGGACAGTGCAGTCATAGAGCTATACATGAGACCTTGGATAGGCACTTGGTGAATGTTTCCTGTGATTAAATTGGGAAGTAAACTTTTCTTGTGTTGTTCTGAAAAGGATAAAATGATGACAGAGAGAACTCTGTTGAAGGAGCGTTACCAGGAAGTCCTGGACAAGCAGAGACAAGTGGAAAATCAGCTCCAAGTGCAATTAAAGCAACTTCAGCAAAGGAGAGAAGAAGAAATGAAGAATCACCAGGTATTCTGCTTATATTGAAATTGTCAATGAATTAAGTAACAGTCCCTGATCAAACTATAATTTTGTTTCTGAGTTAATAAAAATAAAAAAGCAGCATTTACTTTTTAATAGTTATCATAGAGTTTTAAGGATAAAAAGAACCTTTGAGAGCATCTTGTCCAAACTCTCACTCTTATGATAGTTCAGAGAGAAAAGTATTGCTTATTTAATATATTTTGTTGACATAATTGACTATCTACCTGGAAAACACGTGATTATATTTTTATTTCATATTACATTGAAATATATAATTCTAGGTAGATTAAAAATCTACACATAGGCCAGGCGCAGTGGCTCACGCCTGTAATCCTAGCACTTCGGAAGGCTGAGATGGGAGGATCTCTTGAGGCCAAGAGTTCGAGACCAGTCTGAACAAGAGTGAGACCCGGCCGGGCGCGGTGGCTCATGCTTGTAATCCTAGCACTTTGAGAGGCCGAGGCGGGCGGATTGCTCAACGTCAGGAGTTCAAAACCAGCCTGAGCGAGAGCCCATCTCTACTATAAAAATAGAAAGAAATTAATTGGCCAACTAATATATATATATATATAAAATTAGCCGGGCATGGTGGCGCGTGCCTGTAGTCTCAGCTACGTAGGAGGCTGAGGCAGTAGGATTGCTTGAGCCCAGGAGTTTGACGTTGCTGTGAGCTAGGCTGACGCCCCAGCACTCTAGCCTGGGCAACAAAGCGAGACTCTGTCTCAAAAAAAAAGAAAAAAAAGAGTGAGACCCCATCTCTACAAAAAATAGAAAAATTAGCCTAGCACAATGGCACATGCCTGTAGTCCCAGCTACTCAGGAGGCTGTGGCAGGAGGATTGTTGGAGCCCAGGAATTTGGTTTTAGGTTGCACTGAGCACTGATGGTATCACTGCACTTTAGCCTGGGTTACAGAGCAAGATCCTGTCTCAAAAACAAACAAACAAACAAACAAACAAAAAAACCCCCCAAAAAACGCTACATAGAAAAACTAGAAAGAAAAATTAAATTGGAAGAAAATTTAGAATATTAATGAAACCTAAAATTGTAAGAGGTCATTTTAAACAAATGGCAGAAAACTCAGAAGCCATAAAGAAAACGATTAATCAATTTAACTATATATAATTAAAAATTTTGATATGGCAAATGACACAAAAATCAGTTGAAAGATTAATGTTAGACTGAGAAAAAACATTTGTAGACATCCAGTGAAGGCTTTAATAAACACAACATTCTGAGATTCCTACAAATCCACAGTAAAAGTCAGCAATCTAGAGAAAAATCAGAAAAGGTTGTTGTGTTAGTTTCCTAGTGCTGCTGCAACAAATTATCATGAATTTGGTGGCTTAAAACAACACAAATGTATTATCTCACAGTTCTGTAAGTGAGAAGTCCAACACAGGGGTCACTGGGCCAAAATCAAGGGCTACATTTCTTTTGGAAGCTCTGGGGGAGAAAGTTTCCTTGCTTTTCCAGCTTCTGCTGCCTGCATTTCTTGGCTGGGGGCCACCATCCTCCATCCAAAGCCAGAATATCTGCTTTCTTCCCTAGTCACATCTTCCTCTGATCACAGCTATGAGTGTGTCTTCATTTGTAAGGACTCATGTAATTAGTTTCGGCTCACACAGATAATGCAGCATTATATTATCTCCCCATTTCAAAGTTGTTACCTTAATCACATCTGCATAGTCCCTTTTGCTATGAAAGGTAACACATATGCAGGTTCCAGGGACTAGAATGTGGACATCTTGAGGAGGAGTGTATTATTTTGCCTATCACAGTTGTAAATAGTAATTGACAGAAGAGGAAAAGCAAATCTATTAGAAATGTTTGAAAAGAAGCTCCACTTCACTGGTATTCATTTGTTCGTTCAGCAAATATTTTTTGAGTGGCTGATCTAGGCTGTGGAAATTTAGTGATGAACAAAACAGAGTCTCTGTTTTCATGAAATGCTTATTGAGGGAGACGGACTGTAGAAACAAGAATAGAAGTTAGGGAAATGAACGTTAAAATTATTAGATACTATTCCTTCCTCTGCCTTCTCCCCCTCACTCAAGAGATTGGCAGAAGTGAAATAAGTTGTTACGGGTGAGGAAAAATGACCTCTTTCAGACGTTATTGGTAGGAGTGTGAATATGACCTTTTTGCAATAGTTACTAGAAAGTGTCAGTTAAAATTTAATATATACATATACTTTGACCTAGTAATCTTATTAGTAGGATTTATTTTTTATACGAAAATGTTGATATACAGAATATTAATTGCAGTATTGTTTTAAAAAATTAATTAGATTAGAAATGTAATTACAAAAATTTGAAAACATCCTGTTGGTCTTCTAATAGAGAATGGTTGGATAAATTTAGATATATCCAATGATATCATATTATGCAGCTGTTTTTGAATTAGATCTATATTTATTGACATGGTATGTTCATGTCAAGTGAAAAAAATCAGGATGTAGAATAATGTACATAAAATGACTTCATTTAAAAAAAACCACAAAACCAAAGCAATACATACATAAACATACATGTATTTTTGTGAAAATGGAAAAAGATGGGAAAGTGTAATACAAAGCAGTTAACACATTGATTAACCTTATGGGTGGAAGTGGTATGAACTGGAGGATGACTGTTTCTCACTTTTATTTGACTTCTTATTTTAAAAATATATAAATGTATTTGTTGTTAAGGAGTAAAACAAACCCCAAACCTCCACACATAATAAAGTAGCACCATAACAAAACAAAATAAGACCATATTTGTTTGCTGTGACAAACTCCCACTTGGTGCAAGAACACTTTTCTTGGCATTCTTGACAGGTGTTCATTCAGCCTTTATTTGAACACTAGTGATGGAGTGCTTATGGCTTTACAAGGCAGCATATCCCATTTTTGAACAGCTGTGATTGTTAGAAATTATTTTTCCTGTTGAGTTGAAATCTACATTACTGTTACTTCCTCCCTTAGGTCTGAATACTGGTTTTTGGTGCTACTCTTCAACCAATTTCTTTCAATTCAATTCGAATTCACCAAAGTCAATATTTGAATTTATGATAGTTGAAAATAACCTTCAGATCAAAAGAACTAACTTATTTTCTTCTTTATTTGTGTGTGACTGTAATTGTGCGGGACTCAGGAGATTTTAAAGGCTATTCAGGATGTGACAATAAAGCGGGAAGAAACAAAGAAGAAGATAGAGAAGGAAAAGAAGGAGTTTTTGCAGAAGGAGCAGGATCTGAAAGCTGAAATTGAGAAGCTTTGTGAGAAGGGAAGAAGGTAATTGATGCCATTCGGAATAAAAACCCTGTGTTTGTGTGTATGCGCGTGCAGTAAGGGGCCAGCCCCATTTGTGTTTGTAGTTTCTTTCTTTCAGTCTAATTTGTTTGAAAAATAAGCAAAACTTCTCTAATGACTTTAGCTTTTTCAGTACCTGATGTTAGACTTACTAGAAAAAAGTTTCAGAGATTTATTCATTATTTTTTCTTTTTTCCCCCTCTGTCCCTCAGCTAACCTAGCCAGTGCCCTTCTCTGTCCCCACCTCTTCTGCCAAGTTTGAGGCCTCACCCTGCAGCAACCTCCTCCTAGGCTCACAGCCCCCTCTGGGCTGCCAGAGCTGGTTCTGTGAAACACACACCTGAGCTAAACCAAATGGTCTAGAAGTCGTGAGACATCAGACTCATGCACAGTCTGGGGAGTTTTGGAGTTTCCCATGGCTGTAGTCATGCCCTCCTTGGCCCACCAGCTCCCTTGCCCAGCCTCTCCTACCCCTCACAGATCTGCCTTCAGACCCCTGCCTGCCTGGCCTTTCTGCCTTTACTCCTCGGCCCTCTCCTCCTTTCTGCTCCCATGGTCCTGGTGTGGGGCTCAACATGCTTTCAGACGGTCCATTTAGAGGACACACTGACAGATGACAGGGTAGCCACAGCCAGGAGGAGCCTCCAGACCTCATGTGGGTCCTCCCCAAGCCATAGAATGGCATGCTTTATGCAGAGGTGCCGGGTACAGGAAGATGGGCCAGGCAAGAGTGTCCATGGGCCACAGTGCAGGGTCCCTGTAGGTTATGAGGCAGGACAGGGCCCTCACTGGGCCTCAGATCCCAATCTCTGGCACATAAAAGGGTGACCTAACTGGTCTTTGAGGGCCCTTCCCTCCCCGGTATTTCCTAGCTAAAATGCCCAGCTGGTGCCTTGGGCGACAGATGCCATCTTAGACAGAAATCTATGCCTCTAGGCAACTGGCTGATTTGATACTATTCTGCCGTTTGCATTCTCAACATTGTTCAAGTCACAGATGTCAGCCAAGGAGGATCCAGAAGAAGGAAGGGGTGGCTGGTGAGCCTGGGCAGACCCAGACAGGGGCCCAGACTGTACAGCCTGCCAGCCTGCCTTCCACTGGTCTGGACAGCTCCTCTTAAAGGGCCAGCTCCTCCTTTCCAGCCTACTGAGCCCAGAGAAAGAAAACCAGGTACAAGAGGTGGAGAAGGGCTGGGAGGCTGGACTCTGGCCCTGATCTCTCAACCCCCAATTCTTTCTGTGGACCATGGGCTCACCACTTCCCTCCATGCCTCAGTTTCCTCATCTCTCATCATCTACCTTTTACACTCCAAAACCTGCATGGTTGATTTCAGCTCACAGTATGGGACAGGTGATGGTGGCAGCTGTTGTAGGATATGGGAACAGGTTGTGGGGGAGTAGAGGGGGAAGTGGCTTGCCCTGTGGTGATGGTAGGACCAATACCCATGTCTCCTAGGGCAACCCAGGGCTCAGGATCTGGGATTAGGGTACCTGGTAAATGCGGCACCAGAGCTGCCACCTGCCCAGATGTGTTGTTTTGTATAGATCCTGGGCATGTGTACTTAATGAGCCTGAGCTGCCTATTGGGAGGATGGTGATACATGCTGTGACTCTGTCTGGGTTGCCATGGTGTCTTGTAGCGATGCTGCATCTGAAGACCAGCTGGTCTGTCACCTCCCAGGGTTCTCTCTTCAAGGTCCAGTACTTCCTCCATCCTAGAGGAGTGGGGAGCTGCCCTCTTTCCATAGTCCCTCAGTACAAGATGATTTGACCCCACGTGTCACGCCTCCTAGCTCTCCTCCTTTCTTGCCTAGGCCTGGATCTAGGCTCTTAGCTCCAGACTGGGGGCATCCACAATTCACACAACCCACCTCAAACTCCAGGGACCCAGACACACTCAGCAGCCCCCTCCTCCACATGTAGTACATCTTCACCCATCAGAGATTTATTAATATATTAAAATAATAGTTGTTAGTTGTTGGGTCCAAAGTATGATCAAGTTTTTGATATGCATCTAACACTTATTTTTCTTACATAAATTTATAACCCGATTTTTTACAAGTTCAGGCCATGAGAATACTTTGAATGATTATGTTATTCAGCATCAAAAGCTAATTTTTTTTTTTTTTTTTGAGACAGAGTCTCGCTTTGTTGCCCAGGCTAGAGTGAGTGCCGTGGCGTCAGCCTAGCTCACAGCAACCTCAAACTCCTAGGCTCAAGCAATCCTTCTGCCTCAGCCTCACAAGTAGCTGGGACTACAGGCACACGCTACCATGCCCGACTAATTTATATATATATATATATATTAGTTGGCCAATTAATTTCTTTCTATTTTTATAGTAGAGATGGAGTCTCGCTCAGACTGGTTTTGAACTCCTGACCTTAAGCAATCTGCCCGCCTCGGCCTCCCAGAGTGCTAGGATTACAAGCGTGAGCCACCACGCCCAGCCAAAAGCTAATTTTAAACAGTAACATTGTAAGCTATTTGTGAAAGAATTATTTAGGGGATCTGTGTCCTCTTCTGGGTATTGCAACAAGAGCAAAGTGGGCATAGAATTTGGTCAAATTCTCAAATTTCTAAGTTTCTTAAAATGAGCTGTTAGGAAATCAAAATAGCTATGAGTACTCTGATGCTTTTTAAAAAAATTCTTCTAAAATTTTATTTTGTTTATCAAGAAAATCTTGGCTTTTACTAATGTGTCAGAATACTAAGTCGTTAGCAAGCTTACTTGCTGAATCATTTTCCAAGTCTCAAAGATATTAACTGCGGAAGCTTCAAATGAGAAAAAATGTTTGGGAGACCAGTCAGTTACCAATCAGTTGTTCTGTTGAGAATCTAGTGGTACTGAATGATTAAAAGATGGGTCAGTTGTCCACAGTGATCATTTTCCAGCAATTATGAAGAGTATACTTGAAGCAGAACACTATTCCAGATGTTGTTAGCCATCAAAACAACTACCACCACATGACAACAACATGGCCTCTGCCATTGTATTCATGGTGTATGTGGGGAAGATGAGTATAGACATGTACACATAGCAGCTTAGCAGCAGATATCTTATGGTGCAGAATCTGGGAAGATGAGTCTGTAATTTTATTCTAGGCCCTGCAAAATTTTTTCTTTTGATGTGCATTTTTGACACTCTGTGTATCTCTATCTTCTTTTCTGTCTGATTGAATAGCTACAAATGGGGATTGATACTAACAGTTTTGCTTCTTGTGGTCTTGTAGATCCAGTCGGTTTTTAAAATATATGTCATGAGCATCAGAATGTTTTGTCATGAGAAAGAATGTCTCATTCTTTCTGTTAAATACAGGGTTCATTTTTCTAAAAGCAAGGGGGATAAATCTTCTGTGTGTATCTTTGTTCTAGCAGTGGTGTCAGTTTTACTCAGCATTCCATCATTCATAGGAGGTGTGGGTACCAAGATTTTGGTCATTATTTAGTCACCTTGGCCTGCCATAACAATACCACAGACTAGGTGGCTTAAAGAACAGAAATTTATTTTTTCACTCCTTAGCCTTATGAAGCTAGAAGTCCAACATAAAGATGCTGGCAGGTTTGGCTTCTGGTGAGACCTCTCATCCTGGCTTGCAGACAGCTGCCGCCTTGCTGTTTTCTCACATGACCTTTCCTGTGTGCATGCACACTCCTGGTGTCTTCTTTAGGGTCACCAGTTCTATTAGATTAGGGTCTCCTAGGACTCACTTAACTTTAGTTGCCTCTTTTGAGGTCGTATATCCAAATACAGTTATATTGGGGGTTAGGGCTTCAATATGAATTTTAGGGGATGCAAGTCAATCTGTAACCCTTAAGATTAATGCTTAACCCCTATTAACCTCTTAAGATTGATGCTTAACCCCTATATTAACCCAGTCATATTTCCTTTTCAAGGCTCTTTTTTTCATTTATTCAGCCAACATTTATTGAGTATCTACTATATGGCCCTGGAGAATAAAAAGGTCTTCAAGGAGCTTACTGTTTGTTTGGAGAGATAGATAAATAAACAGATGATTACAAAGTAGCATAATGATACCACAATAGTGGTGGTATGAAAGCATCTAGAAGAAGCAGCATGTCACTCAGACTGGGTAGGGGGAAACAGAGCAGTGCTTCCCAGAGAATATGATCCGGAATTGAGTCCTGAAAGGTAAGGGGGGAGCATGATCACCAAGTATAATGGATGATTCTTGTTTTGATCCTGGATTACACAAACTCTAAAGGACATTTTGGAATAATTGACATTTTTTAATATGTATTACATATTAGATAATGTATTGGTGTTAAATATTTTGGTTGTGATTATGGTATTGTTGATTATGTAGAAGATATTCTTGCTGAAAATTTAGGGGTTAAGCATCAAGATGTAAAGTAAATGGGCCGGGCCCGGTGGCTCACACCTGTGATCCTACCACTCTAGGAGGCTGAGGTGGGTGGATTGTTTGAGCTTGGGAGTTCAGAGACCAGCCTGAGCAAGAGCGAGACCCTGTTTCTACTAAAAAAATGGAAACAGAGTAGCTGGATAACTAAAAATATATAGAAAAAATTAGCTGGGCATGGTGGCGCATGCCTGTAGACCCAGCTACTTGGGAGGCTGAGGCAGAGGAATTGCTTGAGCCCAGGAGTTTGAGGTTGCTGTGAGCTAGGCTGACACCCCAGCACTCTAGCCCAGGCAACAGAGTAAGACTCTGTCTCAAAAAAAAAAAAAAAAGTAAAGTAAATGTGTCAAAAAGTAACAACTGGTGAATCTAGACAACCAGTATGTGTTCATTGTATTATTCTATTAACTTTTCTGCTGGTTTGAAATTTTTAAAGAAAAAGTTGCAGAGGTGGGAGAAGATGTAGAGAGGAATTCACCAGGCAACATACCGGGAGAAAGACATTGCAGGCCGGGGGCCCACAGGCGAGAGAGAAAAGTCACTGAGATGTGAGTTGGAGGAATGAGGCTAGGGAATGTCAGGAGCTATTAATACATCAGAAAA